CTATTGCTAACGATCCAAACTAGGAAGGTTTTTGATCAGGTCTGAAACTCCAGGGATATACAAAATGCTCGACGTACATACTAACACATCGACCCACCTTGCAAAGACTGACCCGTAATGATTACCTCACCCCCACCCCCAGCCTAAGTGACTATGATCACCACAGTTACTCCACTGAACAAAATAGGTTTGGAAACACTCGCTCAAATCCGGGCCGGTATCTTGTCGTATTATGGCAACATACATTAGCAAGATGGCAAGATATATTAGATGTGTGTATCCGAATCTATTTTGTCCAGTGTACTCCACAGCTACATCTGATATTCCGATCGAGGGAAGCTTTAAATTGTTAAGTTTTTACCTTCGCCAAATGAATTATTTTTCAAAATATACGAGAAGAAGATATTCTCATTCATTTGGGATGACGGGCCGGAAAGAGTAGCTAGAAAAGTATTGTACAATTCGGTGGAAAATGGTGGTTTAAAGTTAATTAATTTACGTGCCTTTAATTTAACTATTAAAGCTTCGTGGATACCCAAGATATTCTTTCACCCTGAGTGGTTTACTTCAATGGCCATCGCTTCTCATCCTCGTCTCAGTCTGAGTCTATTTCCCTTCATGCAGCTATCTTCTGCGCATGCCCTGAATCTTAAGAGTTTTCTCTTTGAAGCACTTGATGCATGGTACAAATTTCAGTACGTGGAGTCCGCGACACCAACAAACGTACGACAACAAATAGTTTGGAATAACTCCAGTATTACTGTTGATAGTAAGCCTATTTTTATAACTGCTTTGTATAATAGAAATATAATTTTTGTAAATGACTTGTTAGGTACAGATGGAAACTTTATGTCGTATGCTGAATTTTGTGAACTGTATCCAAATAGTTGTGAACAATTTCGATATCAACAACTTATATCTGCAATACCTAAAAGATGGAAAACTTTACTTACTAGTAATCAGTTAAAAGAGCTTGTATGTTTACCATTACAAAAAAATTATATGTGGTTAAAAAATACTAAAATTAATAAGTTTTTGTATAATTTCTTTCTGGCTTATACAAATAATGTTATAATTGCCCATAAAGTAAGGTTATCATGGTTTTATTATTTTGATAGGCCCATACCATGGCGAGAAGTATTTATAACATTAACTAAATGTACTATAGACCCTAACGCCCGATATTTTCAGGACCGTTTACTTTATAAATTTTTACCATGTAACAAAGTATTACAAACTTGGAATTTAATCGAATCCAGTACCTGTTCTTTCTGCCATAGTGATGAAGAATAATCTTATATACATATCTTCTGGGAATGTCCTCATGTGATAGCTTTTTGGAATAACGTACAAAATTGGTTAAAACAAGAAATTCGTGCAAATTTAGAATTAAATTCTTTTGTAGTTATGTTTGGGGATATTTCTACAAATGCATCCCCTTTAAATAATATCATTATATTATTAGGTAAGATTTTCATTTTCCGATCCCGACGTTTTAAGACTTTAAACTTCCAGTCTTTTAAAATATTAACATCTGTCTTTCAAAAGACAGAAGGTCTTATTGCATCTCGGAGGGGAAAGCTGGAGAAGCATCGGGGTAAGTGGGGAACATTGTGTTC